TTAAGTGAAGCATGACCTACACCTCACCTGACCTGTACCCTGTTCCATTGCGTGCTGCTGTGCTGATACAGAGGTTCTAACGTGACCTGATCTGACCTGTGCGCCGCCGTGCTGGTGCAGCGGTCCTGACCTGACCTGACCTGTGCCCCGTTGCAGTGTGCGCCGCCGTGCTGGTGCGGTGGTCCTGACCTGACCTGACCTGTACGCCGTTGAAGTGTGTGCCGCCGTGCTGGTGCAGCGGTCCTGACCTGACCTGACCTGTGCCCCGTTGCAGTGTGCGCCGCCGTGTTGGTGCAGCGGTCGGGGGTGCTGAAGCGCCGCTCCATCCTCAGCGACCCTCCGCTCGACGACACCCGCCTCAGCTACATCAATGCCTCCACTGACTTCTCCATCAGCGTGAGTAGGCGAGCGCTGCTCTCTACCGTCCACGTCAGGGCCCAGCTCAGTCGCGACCCCCTGACCGACGGTGCCGCCCCGGCCGCGTGGTCGTGTGCGGTGCCGCCGTTCCCCGGAAGGTGGGAGCCGCCGTACCTGACGTGCCGGGCGGGGGCGGGGGCGGACGGCGGCGCGGGCAGGGCCCAGCCGCAGGGATGGCGCCGCCTTTCATCCCGGGCGGCCTGAGTCAGCGAGGCACGGCCGGCCTCCTGTGTGACTCCTCATGTGTGACTCCCGTGTGACTCCTCATGTGTGACTCCTGTGTGACTCCTCATGTGTGACTCCTCTGTGACTCATGTGCGACTCCTGTGTGACTCCTGTGATTCTTCCTGTGTTTCTCCTCCTGTGCGACTCTTGTGTGACTGTTCCTGTGTGATTCCTGTGTGACTCCTGTGTGACTCCTGTGTGATTCCTCCATTGTTACTTCTGTGTAACTCCTCCTACGTGACTCATCCTGTGACTCCTGCAGTGGGATCTGCTCGTCACGCCGGCGCAGGAATCAGAGGGAGGGGGCGCCAAGGCTCGCCCGCCTTTCGGAAATCTTCAGAATTGGCGCTATCGTGATACACGGCAAGAATGGACGGCAACAGCCGTTGAGCCCGGCGCCGTGTTTGGAGAGAGCGCGGCTGCCGCGGCGGCCCGACTGGTGGGCGGCCGGGTCGGCGTCCGGTCGGCTGTTTCGCCGTGGGAGCGGCGCGGCCGTGGCCGCTCTCCGTGGCCAAATATGGGCGGCGCCCGCCCGCCACGCTCGTTGGGTGGAGTCGCCGTCCGCCGCGGCGGCGCGCTGCTCAGCCGACAGGACAGGTCCGCGTCGGTCGGCGGCTGCCTGGCGTCGGTCGGCCGTGTGGCCCGCCGCCCAGCTTCGGACGGTCGGCCGCCCTCACTGGCGGGGTCTGGTGCCGGTCAGTTGACGCGTGTGGCGGCGGCCGGCCGGCCGCTCCAGCGGGGCGGCCCCCGCCGGCGCGTGCAAACCTGGCACCGCCGGCTGCGAGGGCGCGAAGGCGGGCGGCGGCCGCGTGCCAGCCGGCCTGCGCCGGCGGCCGCCAGGTGGCAGCAGCGCGCTGCGCCGCCCGCCCGCCTCTGCGCCCCGCGCTGGGCGGGAGCCCGCGGCCAGTCGGCGGCACGCCTGGCAACTGCGCACCGGCCAAGGGTCTAGGCGGGGCGACCGGGCGCGGCTTCCGTGGCGCGCCGGTCGGTTATACTGTGGAGAGTCACGGCATTCGTGGCTCGGGCTGGGACGGCCGCCCATGTAGACCGGTTATGTCACGCAGGTGCGCTGTGGGCGTTGGAGGTCGCACCAGTAACGCGGTGCGATCGTGAGTTCAGGTGTTGCCATCTGGTCGCTACCTTTGCCAGCGAGCGTGACCGGCACCGCCCCGCACCAGAGCCCGCCAAGTGCGGCTCTCCGGATCGCCGGCTGCGGCGGTCATGACGTGCCTGGCAGGTGGCGCCGCCGGAACGGAAGCGCCCTAAGCGGCCCGTTTGCTCTTCACGGCCGCTGCCTTCGGGAACACTCGATACGGGTTGCGCGCGGCGCCGGTGCGCGGCTGGGCGCGGCGCGCAGGCAGCCGACGTGTGTCGCGTGGCTGTCGAATGAGTCAGCCGCGGCCGCCTGGAATGTTCGAGGGCCGGCCGGCGCCGGACGAGGGCTGACATCTAGCGGCCTGAGTAGAAGGCTCGAGTTGTGCGTGTGACCGTGCGACTCTGTTCGCAGGAGCTGGGGGATGAAATGACGAATCTGGAGAATCTGGACAACGACTCGTTTCTGAACAGCCTGGAGTCGATGACTGACTCGGTGACCGCTCAGACCTGCTGGAGCCGGGAGGTTCGGCATTCGAAACTTTGATGCGTGCAGCAGGGCTTCGTCGGCAAGGACAACGCATTCCACAATTGATTATTGCGAAAGCTACAAAGGCATATCTGGAGACACGAGATCACCCAATCGGCAGCGTTCGAGCACTTAGGAATCGTTTTCTGTGTTGCCTGACCGTCATGATTTGTGCGTGGTGCGAGCCGCGTACGTGTGTTATACCGGAACATGTGAACCATACTGGAGCATGCATGGACCAGAGCCGTGGATCGAAATCGTCCGCGATGTCCGCTCGGCGTCGCTCATCCTAGACCCCAGATTCACAATTGCTCGCAGATAGTCAGCGCTGTTTGTATGACCGCTGACTGCGAAGCTGGCGCCTTGACTGAACGTTGTCGGGCGCACGAGACGGCCCGTCCGGTCCTGTCTCGAGACTGTCATGAGACGCGCGGAGTCGCGGTCGGGTCGCCGCCCCGGACTGCCGCCGCGCCCGACAGAGGAAGACCCGCGAGCTTGTGGATCTCGACCGCCGGACCCGGCACCCCCACCACCAAAGTAGTCTAGTCTGCACGGACGGGGCCGGCGCCGCGCGGCCCGGCCCCGCCCCGCCCCGCCGCCGCCGCCGGGCCGGCACGGCGCGTGGCCGAGCCGGCCGGCCGTGCTTCGGAGCGAGGCCGGTGCCGGACGGGCGGGTTCTGTATGTGCTGTGTACGTGGAGAATCAGGTGCACGCCGCCGGTATTTTCGTAAGCCTCCAAGCAGCCGAATTTCGTGAACGTAATGATCTCAGGTGCATTCATAGTGCGCGCGTGCGGGTGCGTGTGCGGCCACCGCTGCCGAATCGGCTGCAGACTCGGCTCATCAGGACTTGTGGCAGCAGTTGTAGAGCACGGTAGTCTAGCGTCCATCCCACAGGTCATTGTTGCGCCGAGGGGTCTCCTCTTGTATCACGTCCTCGACTGTGCGGAGATCGCCGAGGTGCCACGCGCGCCTTCGGAATGGCGTTCTCAAGCGTGACAAGCCACCCTGAACAGATCGTTGTTTCGTGACGCAGGTCAGAGGCACGCTGGGGGGGGGGGGGGGTATGTGTTCTGTTGCTGCGAACAATCCTTCCGTTTGCGAATACTTCCGTCCGTTATGCTGCTTTAAATGCTATGTAATCAGACCTATTTTTGACTCATGCTGTGCGCTCCTCTGAAATATTCCTGCTTGTCCTTAGGCGTTTTGTGTCGTATCATTGTTAAAGCTGTTGTGCTTTGTCAGGCATACCCGACTCTGTTTTGTGCGCTGTGATCCGCATGATAGAAGCTGCACCGTAGGCTTAGGCTCATGTATGGATCGCCACCACAGAAAATTGTTACGATCGGTCGCTTTTTCTGTGTCGCGTGTTCCGCATCACCACGTAGGTCCTGCCGCATCTTCTCCGTTTGTCTGAGTTGGATTGGCCCGGCAGTTCCGGTTCGATGTCTGTTCATTGATCACAGGACCTCACGAAACGCAATTGGCCAGCGTTGTACCGGCTTCACCGGTCTGCATTGGCCGTCGCTGACCGGTCGTGTGTCGATGCGCGTCCACCCAGGAGAAGCTGGGCTGTCGCAGGTGGGGCATGAAATCACCATAGGCTATGATCATGAAGCGACTTTTCAATACCTATTTTTGTCCAAGTGATAAGTGAGAAATGTTGAATACATACTACATAGATGCCTGACTGTCAATGTGTATGGTGGGTTGGGGGCGGGCGCGAAGCAAGCTGCGCTATTGGGCAGTAGTACACTGTTTTTTGTTCAGTTAGGCATCCCTTTTGCTTCTATAGGTAAAAGACGTTTACCTGAAAAAAAAAATGGTTTAGAAGCACACGACACAAGAAACGCCGCTTCCTGCAGCTGCGGGTCACGTGTTTAATCGCGTTTTTTTCTCTGAAGCCCACGAAATGAGCACGACCCAAACCTCATCGCCCTGGCGGTGATATGCGACAGCCTAGTGTTGTTTTTTGACGGTAGGTTGCGCTGCGATCACCTCGCGGACCCAGCACCTGCCAGGCGGGGAACGTCGCCGCCAGTTCAGGAGGAATGCAGTTATCGCCGCCGCTGGCAATCCGCGTCCGACTCATGAGATGGGTCATTCGGTGTGCTCACATAGCCGTACTCTGAGTGGTCACACAGCCCTACTCCGGGTGGTCACACAGCCCTACTCCGGGTGGTCACACAGCCCTACTATGGGTGGTCACACAGCCGTACTATGGGTGGTCACACGGCTGTTCCCTGGGGCTGGCGGTACTCGCCAGCCCGTGTGCGCGGCCCGTGACAGCTGACCAGTGACGTCACTGGCAGACGCCGGCCGGCGCAGTGCCGCCTCATACCGCACCAGAGCGCCTCCCGGCGTTAGTCTGCTGCGCCAAACCTCACGAGAGCGCCTCCCGGTGAGAATCTGCTGCGCCAAACCTCACGAGAGCGCCTCCCGGTGTGAATCTGCTGCGTCAAACCTCACGAGAGCGCCTCCCGGTGTGAATCTGCTGCGCCAAACCTCACCAGAACGTCTCCCGGTGTGAATCTGCTGCGCCAAACCGCGCCAGAGCATCTACCGGTGTCAGTCTGCTGCGCGAAACCTCACCAGAGCGCCTACCGGTGTAAATCTGCTGTGCATTCTCCATGAGCAGGCATTGCAAGCTCGGTGCACGCTCCCCGGCCCCGTGCCGACGGTGTGACACATGGGGCCTAAGGGGCATCACTCCGCAGCCCAAACGGAGTTCGACACACTCTCGCTTTTAGCAACTTTATTTGTTCATAGGCGATAAATCAGACACAAAACCCTACACTTTGCTCAAGTGCTGGACACATAAGCCGGTTGTTAGGCCTGCGGCGATTGAAAAATTACACAAGTCGGACAGCGGCCGAGGCAGAGCCGACCCATGTCAGGCCGCGCTCGGTCCCACCGTCGGGCCGCGCTCGGTCCCACCGTCGGGCCGCGCCCGGTCCCACCGTCGGGCCGCGCTCGGTCCCACCGTCAGGCCGCGCTCGGTCCCACCGTCGGGCTGCGCTAGGTCCCACCGTCGGGCCGCGCTCGGTCCAACCGTCGGGCCGCGCTCGGTCCCACCGCCGGGCCGCGCTCGGTCCCGCTGTCGGGCCGCGCTCGGTCCAACTGTCGGGCCGCGCTCGGTCCAACTGTCGGGCCGCGCTCGGTCCCACCGTCGGGCTGCGCTCGGTCCCACCGTCGGGCCGCGCTAGGTCCCACCGTCGGGCCGTGCTCGGTTCCTCCGTCGGGCCGCAGAGGCCGCGGCGCCCGCGCCGGCCCCGCGGCCAGTCACACCGTGCCACGGCGGCGCCACGCGCAGGCACCTCCGTGCAGACGACCGCGCGGTAGCCAGCATTAGCTCTAGAGGCGCGCCGCTGGCCAACCCACACGCGGGGCCCCGTCCAGCCATCAACTGTTGGCACGGAGTTCCTTGATGTGCTGGCAGAGGCCCTTGGCGGGCTGAAAGAGGCACACTCCGGCCCAGGCGGCCAGCGCCTTGTCGTGCGACTGGAAGAGGAGGCGTGCCGTTAGCGGCCGGAAACATTGAGATCACACCAGTGACAATCGCGTGCAGACAGGTCGGGGCACAGATACCCTCGTTGATGCACCTGTAGGAGGCTGTAGCCTGTATCGACGAACGACGCATGTCGACTACGGGAGGACGACTGGTAGGAAAGGGATTTCTGGGCTCCCAGTCCAGCATCGGGAGATTGGTGAGCACGGGCGGACTACGAGCTCGCAACTCAGCGGCCATTCGAATGGACATCACGGCAAGCAGCAAGAGGTTGCAGTCCCCACGGACCTACGCATAGCCTAGACGCGCCAACCAGACCGTGACCAAAGCTTTTAATGCACCCTTGGCGTTCCCATAAGCAGAATAATCGTACTTAACCATTGCTACCAATTCATTGCCACCTCGAGGCTAGACAACGTATTCGTGTCTGCCTGCACGGAAAGGCGCGGCTTACCTTGGTGAGGTCGCGGTCCCAGGTGGCGCCACATTTGCCGCTGCACTCTGGACAGGGACGGTGCAGGGGATAGCCGCCGCACTCATTGCAGTCCAGCGACGCCTCCTCGTTGCGCCAGCTCACGCCACATCTGAAGGTGGATGCCAGGTCAGATCAGGCGTGTTTCCGGCGACCTCTGGTGATGCGCCAGCTCCCGGACGGCCCTGGCACGAAGCGGCGCAGGTCACAGATGGTTCTGATGCACGGGCGCTGGGCTGGGGATGGCCGACAGTAAGATCTCGGATCGGCGGACGAGAGGTACAAGCTCGCAGGCCATCTCGGCGATAAAGAATGTGCCAAGCTAGACACATTTATGGTGAAAGTGGAAGAGCAAGTCGTGGGTACTCCTTGAGCTCGGCTTCAGCCAACAAAACAACTACGCTTGGCGGCATTCAGACATCTGACGGCAGCTTTATGAACAAGTGACACCTGCGCCACCGGCAACAGCAACAGCAACAACAACAGCAACCGCAACCGCCCCCCCCCCCCCCTCCCTCCCCTCCCCTCCCCTCCCCTCCCCTCCCCTCCCCTCCCCCCCCCCTCCGCGGTTGAGTGCAGCACAACGGGTTGCACCGGTACTCACGTGAGACAGTTGCTGTTGTAGTCCTTGAGATCCTCCAGCGTGAGCATTTTGCCGTACTCCTCGGTGAGGGTGCTGGGAGCGTGCTGGTCTCGCTCGTCCATGGCGGGCGGCGCGCAGAAGTGCAGACCCGAGCCGTAGCTGGAGGGCTCCGCGCCAGCGCCCACCGTGAACTGGATACCGGAGCCCACGCTCGACGGGGTGGCGGCGGCGCGCGCCGTGAAGTGGATCCCCGAGCGGAAGCTGGAGGCCGCCGACGAGCACCTGGCGGAAGGGGCGGGGCAAGTCAGCTCGATGGCGGTAGCGAGCCGGTGAGTGGGTGCAGTGTCGGCTCTGCGTGGGAATCCTCACGACGCTCTCCCGTCCCAGTGGTGACTGAAAGGTTGACGGGGCCGCCCACCAGTGACCGGCATTGATGCCCTCATACACCGACGTGCTTCAGCTGGCGCCCAGAGTGAATGGATTCGCATTCATCTAGGAGGGCACGCGGCGAGGACACGGCGTCCTGTTCAGCGTGAATGGTGCGGTTTTCACCTCCAGTCTATTCTGGGTGACGCCAGTGGCAGCTGTGATCCCGGAGACCCTTTCTTCTCACACGAGTGCAGGGTTCTCACACAAGAGCAGGGTTCCCACACGAGAGCAGGGTTCTCACCGAGTTTCCACGGTCAAGTGCGCGGCGCTGCGTTCGCAGCTAAGCCAGTCCTGGTCAGGGTAGTGCTCCTCGTCCTGGGGCTCGTCCTCCCAGTCGTCCAGATCGAGCTCGTCGCCCACGTAGCTGCTGCTAATGGTGGACACGTTGGTCAGGCTGCTGGCCGACGAGAGCGCGTCTTCGCCCAGAGACACCTGTCGGCGAGAGGGTGTATAACTGTCAGCCGCTGCTCGCTGCCTTCCATGGAGTGCCAGACGGCCGAAGGTGCAGTCAGACACGGCCGTCCCAGTGACGCGAGTGCATCTAGCAACGGCTTCAGTGGAAGGATCAATAACTCCGAACTGCTGCTGTCGGCCTTCGTGCCTTCGTTAAAAGTTAAACTTCATTGGGGCCGGAAATAGGCTCCGAAGGTCCCGCTGTCGCGCGTTGTTTTAGGGGGCCGGGGTCTGGAAACTCAAACTGCCGCAGCAAGTTATGGAGGGTCCCTGCGGTGATGAAACCACATAAACGCCGTAGCAGTAAGGGAGCAACGAGGAGCGGGCAGCGAGGGCTCACTGGCTGGAGCCTTGGTCTCCCACATGGGAGAGCTCGGGTTCGGATCCCGGCTGCGCCACACTTCTGGACGCTCATACTATCACCGCATTGGAGTTGTCAGCACATCGATGGCAGTATGAGACGCCGCAAGCATGGAAACACTTCATGCCGGGCCAGACCATGGCCCAACACGCACAGGAGGCGGGCTGTCCAAGCAGTCGGGCGGGACCCAGAAGCGCGTGGTCCATTCCGGGCACTTGACCCAGATCAACAACAGGACAGACAGTACATTCGTAGAGAAGCCATCCGACCAACCACAAGGTATCGACACCGGCGTTAAGTGGGCACTCTTGGGTGCAGCTGAAGCGGGCTTCCGTGACTGACACGGAGACCTCCGCAGCCAAACCTCAGTGGCCACGCCCTAGTCCGATTTTAAAGCGCCCAGCAGCAAATTACAATCGCACCCTGGCAGAAGACCCACACTCGTACGCCAAACACAGCGTGGCGGCGGCCCACTCGCTTCCTTGTTGTGCCACGTTCGTGCCAAAGCAACTCGCTTCAAGGGCTGACGGGCTGGCACCAACAACGAATACAAACATCGGATTTTGCCCGGCACTGCGACGTCCAGCTATCGCGTTTCCCGTCGAATGGCGCAGCGCCGCTCAGATGGGAGCCCGGTGTTTGCACGCCAGAGGGCGGGGTTCAGCATCGTACGCGGCCGGGCGCGGCAAACAGCCACGGCCTTATCTGAAGACAGTGGAATGCGACGAGCGCAGTGCGCACATCCCGGGGCCCAGAGCGACGCCCGCGGCATTCCGCCAGCGCGGCATGCGTGGAGCACCAGACCGACCCCAAACAAGCGCGAGGGAGCGCGCGATGGCGGCGCCTTTCGGGGCTCCAACATGTGAGCCTTTGGCCAGGGACACCGAGACGAGCCCGGGCGATGCAAACTCTTACAACAACGGTGGATGCCGCCTGCAGCGCGCCGCGGCTGCCCCCAGCTCCCCAGCTCTGCCTCAAGCACCGCCCCCCCCCCCCCCCCCGCCCCGTCCGACGCCGCCGTCGGCGGCCAGGAGCGGCGGCTCGCACCGCTCGCGGCGGCGGCGGTGGCGGAGGCCGTGGCGGAGGCGGCGGCGTACCTCGGGCGTGGAATGCACGTCGCGCAGGGGCGGCTGGCGGCGGCCGCGGGCCGGCGAAGGCCACGGGCTGTCTGCCGGCTTGGCGGCGCCCGTGCGGCCCGGCGTCGAGCGGCTGTGCTGCAGCCGGTGCCGGTGCAGGTAACGGCGCAGCAGCAGGCTGCGGCGGTCGGGCGGCGCCGGCGAGCGCTCCTCCAGCGGCGACGAATCCGACCGGTTCAGGCTGTCGAAGAACCGGCGCACGCGGAAGATGGCGCTGCAACGGCGGAGGAGACGAAGCGTTAGCTGATGGAAGAGTGGGACGACGGCGGGGAACAAGCGGCGGCGGCGCGGGGCCGCCGTTCGCAGGATCGGTCGGGGCTGGGTCTCCACCGGGCGGGACAGGGGGCCAGATCGTGCGCTGGGACCGGCCGCCCCGGAGGCATCGTGACACTCCTCGCGGGTTGTGGCACACGCGGTCAGCCATGCAAGAGTAGGAATGTCAGTGATGGGGAAAAAGGTTACAAAGAACTGGGGCAGGCAAGAGGTATGGCGCATTGACAAAGACATGAAACGATGTACAAGAACAAGATTTAACGGACTAGTGGCTACCTTCTTTGACGATTTCCAGAACGTTGCATGCACACCATGCTAACACGACGTCTTTCCACTTCGACCCAAAGTGACGAATCACAAAAAGACATTTCCGCCTTTCAAGAGCTGTCAGCACACGTAACCGTTGCCGCTCCTGTGGGCCACGACAGCCAACGGCATGCAGGCGCCAGCCAGCTTCGAAGCCGCGAACAGTGTCGACGCCGGGCAATCGTGAGACGCCACCGTGTTCCGACAGGGATTCCGAGAGTGGCAACGCGTTTCGCCACGAACGTGAGCGCAGACGAGAGGGTCTCGCCAGTGCTCGCGAGCGCGTGTTGGGGCCCGCCATGCACCGCGAGCGTATGGCTCCGTGTCCCGTCAGGAGCTACTCGACTTGCAACATGTTGTCCCCTGCATGGTGCCACCAGCGCGAGCGTCCAGTTGGCCGTACGCCTGGGGCATAGCTTTCCCTCCTGCTGTGGTTCGTGAGAGCCGTTTCTGCACCTGCCAAGAACCGTGAGCGTACCTCGTCGAGGTTCGCCACGCACACAGCGGACGCTGAATAGTACGTGCGTACTGAATAACGTGAACGTTATGACTTACTCGTTACATTCGACAGGAGGCAGAGCTGGCTTCAGAATTACAAGACCGTCGCTTACCCCCAGAACTGGACTTCTCGCCCACCAGCACCTCACGCGCTCCAAAAATTATCCGACCTAAGTGGTTCAATCTGCGATCCGCGCGTCTCACATATGATCTGGGCGGTGCTCGAGCGGCTCTGATAATGCACCTGAGTCATCGCACACCCAACGCGACGTCGAGCCGTCGGTGGTGGCTTCCACGCGCTGATCAGACCCATCACGGACACAGACAGGCGCTGCCAGTAGGATGACTTCTGCGCATCAAAGGGACCGTGCTGACGGGGCGCGATCGAGTTTTTGAGGAATGGTGCCCGTTAAAGTGACATAAATCGATGACGACATCAAGAGAAATCAGCCGCATTTCTTGTGCCTGGCTTCAAACGCGCCGACAGCACGCCGCCAGAAATATCCGGTAGCCGCATCGTCCGCATCGGTAATGGTAACGAGTCACCCGTGCAAACAACATCTGGAAACGTTCGCCCCACCGGCCGATTACGGCGAAGGTGTTGCACACAGGAGTTTCCTCGTGACGTAGGAGTTTCCTCATGACGTAGGAGTTTCCTCGTGACGTAGGAGTTTCCTCATGACGTAGGAGTTTCCTCATGACGTCACATTCCCGTCTGGAGGCGCCCGGACACCCCCGAATTCGCGGCACCCGCCGGCCCGCATGGCTCCCGCCGGCACCAGGCATCACGAGCGACCGGGTCCTTCCGACCGCGAGAGCCTCCCACCGGCCGTCTGTGACGTCAGTGTCGCGTCGCGCGCGACTGCGCAGCGACAGCCAAAGCGCAGATCGGCTCGTGGGTTCCGGGAAGCGTCGGCGGGCGAGAGGTCGGCGAGGGCCTGGCGGGCCGATCAGCCGGTACGCGGCGCCCACCGCTGCGGCGCGGCGCCGGTGATTGCGTCAGCCGCCGCGCCCGGTCGACAGGAGGGGAGGGGCGAGGCGTCTGCGCAGCCGGGCGAGCATGGACCGTGCGTGGCGGTGCGCGCCGGTGCGTCGGGCCTGGGCGGAAGCCCGCGACTGTGTTCACGGTGAGCGGGCGGCCCGGCGCGCCCAGGGCGGCGCGCGAGGGAATATCTGGAGTCTGGGGTCTGGGATTCCGTTGACGGCAAGCAGGCGTCTTTCTGATTGAGCGCGAGGGATCTCAGGAACTGTACCGGCTCCCTGACCGCCGATCCCCTCCTCCCCCCCCCCCCCCCGCGGCGCCCGCCACCCCATCGGGCAGCGGGTTCGCTCACCACTCCAGGTCGACGGACGCCTTGCGCCTGGCCCGCTCGAACGCCGGTGACGGCGGCTCCTCCGACATGGTCATGGCGGTGCGGCCGGCCGCGTCGCCCCTCACGTCACGTTCCGCTCCCAGCGCGCGCTCGGTGCCCGTTCCGCGCCACACTCCGACGCTGTCCGCTCTGTCGCTGGGCTCTGCGACGGCGGCACGCACGGCGCTGCGACTGCCTGCGGCGCTCGCTCCGGCTCCACTGGCCGGTCAGCCAGGCGGCCGGCCGCCTAGCTGCCGGCGTGACGCAAGCGATGACGCGTGGGGGGAGGGGCGCCCCGTCGGCGGGCAGCGCCGCGGCCGTGCGGAATCGCCGCCGCCGCGCAGGTAAAATTGCCGGCCAGACATCTCTGCGTAGCTGGTGAGGTCAGGGGGGTCGCGGCCCGCGTCAGCTTTAGACCGAGGTCACGTGACCGGCCGAGTCACGGTGATCGACGTGACGGTTGGTATGCAGATCAGCCGACAGTTCAGGGCTCAGCCCCGTATAAATAGAGTGGGAACTGCGCCCACGCCGCGCAGCGCCCCTCCTCCTCCTCCCCTCCCCGCATTCATAAGGACGCCGTGGCGCTGTTCTGAATGGGTCGTCGGTTAGGTGGCTCGTGGCGACGCAGAACGGGCGAGGTCAGTGCGGATTAAGTCGATCCGCAGACGACAATGGAGGATTAATGTCGCGATCAAAGTGCGCTGCTGTGTGGAGTGGGGTTAGGCGCTTGTTAGTGATGCCATCCACACGTCCAGAGACGCGGGGCACCGCCTACACGCGCTGGTCTTGGAAGACACACCGTCAAACGACCTCGAGTGGCCACCATAGACAAGAAATCATCTGAAGGGATGTTCACCAGAGCCTGCCGCGTACGGAATGTCACGATACTTCAATCAATTACAGGGATCATTACCGCGGGAATTCCAGTCCACGAGACGTATTCCGACACTCCAGCAGCCGTTGGTTGGCTACTCCATGCCCCGACGGAGGGTCCGTAGTACTCTGGTCCCGGGGGGGTGGGGGGAGGAGGAGAATACCCCGTAAGCATCCCGGTCCCGAGAGAGAAAGACAGGAGAACCTCACCGGCCCTCCAGTCCCGGGAAGAGAGAAGAACCCCCCCACAGACACCCAGTCCCAGGAAGGAGGCCCACGGACATTCCAATTTGGCGTCGTCGCGGCGACCACGCGGACTGACCTCCAAACCGTTGGCCACTCACCTGTTGGCTGGATTCGGAACTCCTCGGGCACTCCCCAGCAAGCCAAATTCCGATCGGTAATCTGAAGCAAACGAAACAAACAGTAGTGCCGGGAAGCCTCGGAGTGGGAGGGCCGTTTATTTTCACAGACGTCATGGATGGGATCCGTATTACGCGCTGGACAATTGTTGATATGCTGAGACGAAGTGGCTGACTAAATCGCTGGCTCACACTATTTTCACTGTGAGTGACACGTCACTGAATCCTTGCCACCGCCGAGTTCCAAATAGTTACGCACTAGAATCACAAATTGTATGGCCGATCAGCCGGGCGGCCGGCCACCTAGCTGCCGGCGTGACGCAAGCGATGACGCGTGGGGGGAGGGGCGCCACACAATCAAATAAACGTCGGGAGAAGGTTTCAGCATCGCTCGGCTTATCGCCTTGATCATGACAATGTCAGAGCTTGCAGCTGTCGCTCGCTCGCCGTGCCCGACAGGCCGAGGCCCACGCGCTCTTGCCACACACGCATGGGCTCTCCGATCGTCGTCCCGCTTTCTCTCCGTTGCTGCTACGAACGCCCTCTCGTTTGTCGCGGCGCACCAGGCAGCGGACCACATGTCCGGTTACTTCACCGATACGCGCGACAGGTAACAGAAACACTTCTCAGAGCATTTTGTAAATACATATGGCAGGCGGATGCATATGAGATTGTGAGCAGGCGGACAAGTTCAGATATTGTTACGTACTGCCATGTCTGTGGTGTGTGGAGAGGGAATGTTCAACACGACCTGATTGATGTCGTGATCGGAGATTTATCGTTGCACACCTCATGTACGTTCAAAATCATCCATTCAAACGTCCTAGCTTCCATCACCACATGATCACTGTTGAAGGCCTAGATAACATACGTCTTTGATGGTTCGAGTCTACATTTTGCCATATCTTATGAGCATTTGTCATGAACGAATGAAAACTACATTTCTGTGCTATTCTAGCGTACACAGCATCGCGCACTGCACACATCGCGGCCCCCACACCGCAGCACCCCACATACGCTGGCTGTCTGTCTGTCTGTCTGTCTGTCTGTTTCTCCAGAGTCGCTCAGAGCGCCGCCCCTCGCGCAGCGCCGCGGCCTCATCGCTGTGCGGGGGTCTGTGCTGTACGCGTTCAGTCCGGACCTTTCAGAGACCGGACGCATGGGCGTCCGAACTTTTACAGAAATACCAATATGGACGTGCGACAATCACCCAAAACTTGTTTTCCTGCAGAAGTAGGCCAGAAGGAGTGGCCGACGGACGCGACCGACTGCTGCGCCATCGGCGGACGCTGCGCCACCGGCGGACGCGACCGCCTGCTGCGCCACCGGCGGACGCGACCGACTGCTGCGCCACCGGCGGACGCGATTGACTGCTGCGCCACCGGCTTCCGCGAGGCCGTTTCGGCGCAGGCACCGAGAAGCGCATCACCATGCGGCACGACTGCCCGCTTCGGCCGCTCACGCGGGAGCGGAGCCGAGAAAAATGACATTTGTTTGGGCCCGAGTCCACCGGTCCCCGTTTTCTGTCCCTTTAAGTCGCGTGGTTTGCTGTCGCCAGGATCAAGTTCGAAGCCACGACCCATCCCGTGCCACTTGAGACGCTGACCATTCTTCCCGAAATATGCGTTGCCAGTGTGGAAGGAACTTTTCTGTGTCAGTGACAGTGACAGACAGTCTTCGTCACCCCAAATCACGCGTCCACGGCTGGCGGGAACGGCCACGGGTTCAGTCACCAACGCGCCCAACACGTCATCAACGACCGTCGTGGCGACGGCGGCGCCGCCAAACAAGTGACGAAAGCGGCGCGCCGCTTACGCAGCGGCGTCAGCGCGGCGCGCCACCCTTGCTGCAATCGATCAAAACCGGCGCGGCCGGGGTCCGGACGTCAGCGGCGGACACCGCCCCAGGGGGCGCCCGGGCCAAGCAGCCGAGCTGGCTTCGAGCGCGGCCGCGATCGCGCTCCAGCCGCGAACTGCCTACGAGCCGCAGCTAGCTGGTGGTCTGCGGCACCAGCCGACCGCCGGCCGTCAGCCCGGCCGACTCGTTCGGTGACCGGTTGAGGCAGGGCCATCAGCAGCCAATGGCGCCGGCTGCGTGACCGAGCGCCGATCTTTCGCGAGGCCGTTCAGGGACGGCCCCTCGCTAGGTGCGGCCGCATGGCTTCCCCAAATAAGGCGACGGCTAGCTGGCGAGTTTGGTGGCATTTTCCTCCTTCCGGCCTGGGGCGCGCCGTCAGGTCCAGGAAAGGCAGCAGGATCGCGCCTCTGTCCTCCTTTGTGTCGGCGATCGTATCTCCCTGAGCCGCCGCCCGCTGGCTAGTTGCACCTGCGGCGCCCGACTCCGCGGGGACATCACGAACCGCACCGGGTCAGGCACGGCGGTGACAGCGGCCGAGGGGCACGTGCCACGCCAGTGCGGCAAACAACCGCCCAGCCGACCCGGCGGCATATCGCCGCGCGCTCGCGGCGAGACACCTGGTCCCGCACGTCACCTGCCGGCCGGTGTACGTCACCAATGGACGTCACTTATGCACGTCATCAGCGCATGTCGCCAGGGCTCCTCACTAATGCCCGTCACCAGTGCTCGTAACTAGAGCACGTCACTATGCACGTCACAAATGCACGTCACCAATGCACGTCACTAATGCACGTCACCAGTGCATGTCACCAGTGCACGTCACCAGTGCATGTCGCGGTAACGACGGCTGTGACCTGTGCAGCGGGACGCGGGATCACGTACCCCGTCAGAGAACGCCAGAGAACGCGGGGTCACGCACCACAGGCGCCGGCTTCGGTCCCCGCCCGATGGTGGCGCACGGCTGTCGGCGGTGCCCGCCCGCCCAGGCGTGCTCGCTGACGCCGCCACGGGCGGTGGCCGGGTGCCGGCCGGGCGCCGGCCGGGCGCCCCCAGTGGGTCGAACCCAGACGATACGGCCAGTGGGCACGGCAGGCCCGTCTGGACGCCGATGACGTCACTGGCCCGACGGAAAGCGGACAGCCTGTGACACGGCTCGGTCTGCCGTGTAGCAGACCATGCGCGACAGGCGGTGTGGGACCGTCCAGTATGAAATTCGGTAAAAAGCATCTTGTCACAGTGACCGGATAGGCAGCGCGTGGCAGGGTTGCATGGTCTGCAGTCGGGAAACCGTCATGGCTGACCGCCTGCAGAGACCTTTGAGCAGGAGGATTCGCCCGGGTATCATCGGAAACCGAATTGCATAAACAGGATCCTGGATTCTGATGAAAAGTAAAGCTCACGTGCCACTGCCTCGCAAGCGGTTAGTTTCCCAGCTGGGCCTTCGCTGCTGCATGCACGGCTTTCATACTTTAACTGCGCACGACCTCGTTCGTCGCTAGACATTGCTCGCAGTGGCCATTCAAAAAACCTTATGAAAGCCAACGCTACTTCAGACAAGCCCAGATGTGCACCGTACGTACTAACCGAACCAGGACAGGTGGGGCGGTCTGAAGAGGAGAGACCGTCGGGAGCAAACTACGTCTGCCGTGCTTGGGAATGGAACAGGACGACCTTGTCTTGAGCAGACGTGGAGGCAAGCATGAAACGAACAGGCGAAGAAACTGCAGAACATGCTATCAGCTGATCGCAATGTTAAGTGGCCTGTTTACAGCACTGCGGGGCAGCCCCTGACGAATGCTCGCATGGAAACTACGCGACACATCGTCTCGGGGCGGAGCGTTATCGCAAAACGCTGCCTGGCGAAGCTAACCAGACGATGAGTCATGCACGCGCGGCCCCGCGCGGCTCCCGACACTGCCAAATGGGTGTGGACGCGCGAGTCCAACTCAGCACTTCCACGAGACAGCGAATCACGGCTGGCGAGTCATGCGATCAGCGCCCGCGCACGTGCAGCACGCAGAGCGAACTGGACCAGGCCGGACGCCGTGACCCGCATTATGACACGTACCGGCGTGAACAGAAGCGTCCTCTGTTGGCCTCCACACATGGCGGCTCGCAGTGATTTAGAAGAGCAAAAGGCGGAACACTTGCAGCGAGGACAGATCGCACTCACTTGTGCTGCGACGCAAAGCGTGTCACACGCCGCAGCACAGCCTCTGCCCGGACACAATGAACACAAACCGGCAGCCGCTTTTGAAGTCGGGTCGTGACCTCAAAGGTCGCAGCACGCCGACCTCACCAGAGATGACACGGCACCCCTGGCCGGCCAAAACGCACGCAAGCCCACCAGCTGGCGCCAGCGGAGGTCGGGGAGGGGCAACGTCGCAAAAAGCCGAGCCAAGCTCGACGGACGGCTGGGGCGGCCGGTACGAGCGTGCTCAGCGGACAGCAGCCGGAGCTGTACGGGACAGGGCGGCGGGGCGGGGGAGTACCGTACCGTTCTCGCGAGATGCAGCTGCGGGGGTGCAGCGTGCTGGCGCTGCCAAAGCCTGAGTCGCAGACGACGCGCACCACCCTCCGCCGCCTTCCAGAACGTCAGGATCGATACGCGACGGTCGCGGCGCGCGCCGGCCGCGCAGTGACGTCAGCAAACACCTGGTGACGTCAGCGGTGGCGTCGCCTATTCTCGGTCGACAAAGCAGCTTCCGGCCACGCCGCGGGTCGCCGCCGCCAAGGTCGCGGCGCCGGCGGCGCTATCGTGACCTTGACCGGGTCGCGGCGTGGGGGCGCGGCGCAGGCGGCCGGCCCAGCTGCGTCTGCCGTTTGCAGACGCAGCTGCGGCCGCGCCCGCGCGCCGGGCAGCCCGGCTGTTCGTGGGTGTGAAGGTTACGCCGGCTGGCAGCCACGGTCACTGAGGTCGGCCCCTGTGCAGCGTGCCACGGCTCAGAATAGCCAGTCGGTTCATGGGGTGTCGGACTCGGTCCTGACGCGCATCAGGCTGTGTCTGTCTGCCGCTGGCGTGTTTGCTTAACCCAGCACTAATGCCAATGCCGCCGCTCCAATATTCCAGATATGCAGCTTGGACAGGAAACGCTGTTTCAAAGGTCAGACGGCTCTTCGTACGCTCCGACACGTACCTAGACTCACGGCCACGACAGACGTTACCTCTTGGCCAGCTGCGTGATG